TGAAACGTCGAGGAAACATAAAATTAGCGAGTCGAAAACATAAACTTCTCCTTCGGGAAGTTAAAAAATGTCATTTTGCGGTAAAAAATTGCGGTAAAAAAACATTGTAGTAATTTTACACCCATTGTAGTATTTTTACAAACATTGTAGTAATTTTACACCCATTGTAGTATTGTTTACAAACATTGTAGTAATTTTACAAACATTGTAGTAATTTTACACCCATTGTAGTATTGTTTACAAACATTGTAGTAATTTTACACCAATTGTAGTATTTTTACGAACATTGTAGTAATTTTACACCCATTGTAGTATTGTTTACAAACATTGTAATTTTACACCAATTGTAGTAATTTTAGAAATATTCTAGTAATTTTACACCCATTGTAGTATTGTTTACAAATATTGTAGTAATTTACACCCATTGTAGTATTGTTTACAAACATTGTAGTAATTTTACACCCATTGTAGCAATTTTACACTCATTGTAGTATTGTTTACAAACATTGTCTAATTTTACACCCATTGAACTTATGTACATTAAATTATCAGATATTTTATAGAGATTTTAATACTGTGTACATATTTTGTGTAATTTTTTTTGGGTTCAGTACCAAGATTTTTAATTTCAGTATGGGAAGTTCTAGCAATTTGAATTAAGGCACGATGCCATGCACCCCACTAGTTAATAAAAATGTTTAAAAGATAAATTTGGTTATAATCCTTCTCCCCTAGAACCTGGTTATATATTTCAGGCGGCACCTTGAATCATATTGGTAGAGTGGCTCGGCACAGTTAAAAGCTAGCCGACGCCTGGTCTAGACTCATAATATAACCAAAATTCAAATTTCAAGTGAATTGACATTTCTGGCAGTTCTCATCTATGAAAATGTTTTCAATGTCGAACAATGATATATTGTTTTTTTTACATTTTTTCCATTTATTTCCACAATATTACTTACAATTAGTTTTATAATTCATCACAACCTAAAAATTTTCCTTAACAAATTCCAAAAAGTTTCATCAAAATTCGAATAACCGTGTAGGAGAGGTTTGAATTCATACATCCGTCGGGAGAATTATATATATATATATATATATATATATATATATATATATATATATATATTGTTTGATTCTAAATTTGATGTTGACATATTATATGTATTAACAAAGTCTAGTAATCGGGCATAACATCAATAAAAATATGAATTTCTTTCAAAAATTTATTTTAAATCCATACGTTTCGGCTATAATCCTAGCCTTCATTCAGTGGAAACTAAAGATAAACTAGCTGTAAGTGGAATTCTGTCTTAAGGCAAATTGCTGGAACTTCCCGTACCAAAAATTATTATTTTTTTAAAAACGATTAACATTTTTGAAAAAAATTTACTTTGAAAGAATAAGATTTTTGAGAAACTATAAATTAGACAAAAAATTACTTTTTTTGAAAAAATTTTTTTTTCTTTATTTTGACATATTGTGGAAGATCTGAACTTTCTTTTCAAAGCAATCGTACTGCTTTAACTGCATAGGGACAAAATATAAAGCGCGTAAGCGCCGCGTCGATGTCTAACGCATAAGCATTGGTACGGAACCCATAGGAATGTTAACAAAATGTATACTTATTGTTAAAATCTCTATAAAATACCTGATCATTTGATGTGCATATGTCTAATGATCATTCTTGACCGCCAAATGGCTCCTCCATATCTCCGAAACCGCTTGACCTACCTTTAAGAAAATTTTATCAATTCTTCATCTTGTCAATACAAGTGAAATGTTTTTTGAATTATTCAAATCGGACCCTCCATTCTCTTAAAAACTGAGTTACCGTTTTCGGCACTTTTTGCCCCGTATCTTCGGAACGGGTAGACCTGCCTTCGCCAAAAACTAATCAGCACGTCTCCTTATCAATACGAATCAAATGTTTTTTGAATTATTCAAATCGGTTGATCCGTGTTCCCGAAATCGCCGACGAAAATTTGTATCCGCACATACATACACACACGTACATACATACACACACACACACATACATCCATTTTTTCTAAGGTATGTAGTGCAGTAAACGGAGAGGAAAAAAGGGTATAACCTCTGAATTTTTTTACTGTGCTCCAAATTTCATGAAATTTTGGAATTAGGTTCATCTTATCCTCAAATTCAAAAGTGAAAACAATTCGGGTTGCGCCATCACCCCCCGGGGGGATGACCCCCCTTCTCAATTGTGTAATTACATTTTTTTAAAATAACGTCGGAAATCGATAGAAGAGCTAATTATAATAAAAAAATGTCTTCTATAGTTTTTCAAAAAAACTAATACTTTTCAAGTTACTGGCCACTAAAGATTCATATATTTTTGGCGTTTTTCTTCGTCTTTTTGCAAATATCTCCTAAATTATACATTTTAACGAAATTCATGTAATGAACAAAATAATGTCAATAAAAATCTTAATAAATCGGTATTACATAAAGTGTTCTAGGAAAAATATTAAGCAAGATTTGAAAGAGCAAAGTCGTTTTTTATTTCGTTCAAGATTTAATTGTTGTATTTAAAGCCATCTAGTGTCAAGGTTTTACATTTTATGCATTTTGGTGAAATTGGGTTTTATAGTGCTCAACATAAGCTTTAAAATGAGTGATGTTACAAGTTTTTTGCGTGTAAAATGAGTGAGCTATCACGCAAATAAGAAGGCATATACGAAGTTTTTTTCTTTTAAATCATATGGTTTAATGAGCGCCATTTCCACCAGAATTAAAGTAATTCACATTCCATCTAGAATTCACTTCATTATAGACATTTTGATGGATTCTAGTAAATTCACTACTTTAGTACAAACTATTTTCAGAAAACTCACGATTTTATAAAAACTTTCTTTTTCAATTTTTTTAAAAATCGAAATTATTTTCATTATATCTCAAAAAGAATAAAAGATACGTATTAAAGCTTATAGATAAAAATCAAAGGAATCTTTCTGGCTTATTATTGTTTTTTATTATTTTTCTTTCACACAAAAATTGACAGAGTTATGAATGTTTAAAGACTGCGCGACCGCGCAAATTGGAAAAAAAAGTTTTTATAAAATCGTGAGTTTTCTGAAAATAGTTTGTACTAAAGTAGTGAATCTACTAGAATCCATCAAGATGTCTATAATGAAGTGAATTCTAGATGGAATGTGAATTACTTTCATTCTGGTGGAAATGGCGCTCATTAAACCATATGATTTAAAAGAAAAAAACTTCGTATATGCCTTCTTATTTGCATGATAGCTCACTCATTTTACACGCAAAAAACTTGTAACAGCACTCATTTTAAAGCTTATGTTGAGCACTATAAAACCCAATTTCACCGAAATGCATAAAATGTAAAACCTCGACACTAGATTGCTTTAAATACAACAATTAAATCTTGAACGAAATAAAAAACGACTTTGCTCTTTCAAATCTTGCTTAATATTTTTCCTAGAACACTTTATGTAATACCGATTTATTAAGATTTTTATTGACATTAATTTGTTCATTACATGAATTTCGTTAAAATGTATAATTTAGGAGATATTTGCAAAAAGACGAAGAACAACGCCAAAAATATATGAATCTTTAGTGGCCAGTAACTTGAAAAGTATTAGTTTTTTTGATAAACTATAGAAGACATTTTTTTATTATAATTAGCTCTTCTATCGATTTCCGACGTTATTTTAAAAAAATGTAATTACACAATTGAGAAGGGGGGTCATCCCCCCGGGGGGTGATGGCGCAACCCAAATTGTTTTCACTTTTGAATTTGAGGGTAAGATGAACCTAATTCCAAAATTTCATGAAATTCGGAGCACAGTAAAAAAATTCAGACCTAAAACGCTCCGTTTACTGCACTAATGCCAAAATGTTCAGAAACCTCTGAAACGTAAAGATATATAAAAATTTTCATTTTTGATTTTTTTGCGATTACTATAACTTGCCCTACGGGAAGTTAATTAAAAACTAAAAACAATTGAATTGGAGTGAAAATAAAAATAAAAATAAAATAGTAAATAGTACTTACAATTAGTGTTAAATTGGAAAATTTTAATAATCCATGGTATCAGGATATGGTAATGCACTACACTATGTATTATAAACATTAAACTTGTAATTACACAATATTTTCACGAAAGACTAATTTAAAACATCACAATTGGATAATGTGTTGTTCGTAGACCGGTTGAAGATATAATGGGACTGGTTATATCTATATATTTATATAGGTTAAATATATATATATATATATATATATATATATATATATAGTAATAAATAACTGTTATTGAAATTACACTGATGATGAGGCACACCTTAGTCTCGAAACGTTTGTAATAATAAAATAAAGTTGTGATACAAAAATCTGAGTGCTGTTTTGTTCATATTAAACAATTAATATATATATATATATATATATATATATATATATGTATATATATAATTATTATACACGTTTACAAATATATAAATACTTGTAATATAAAATATTGTGAATAGAGTAGCGTTAATTGTTTGTTGATATCTTTTACGGTTGCGACAAAAAGTTACTTTAAAAAAAAGGGCACTTTCGCATATTTTCAATGATATCTGGGCGATTGATATTAAGCTAGAGAGTTAAAATTTGGTATATCGGAGTTTTTCGAAATCATGTATGAAAACAAGCCAATACCCTTTATATTCCCTTAATATTATATTAAATATAATATTTATATTATATTATATTTATGTGAATACAGTACTATATGTGATATTTATACTATAAATACATACAAAATGAGAAATAAGATACATACTATTAACTTAATACAATAATTAACACGAAATCGTATTATAAATATTATTAAAGGTGTATTAAAATGATGTCTGATTTATAAATACCATTGTTGCAATAAAAAAAATACTTAGAAGCCCCATTTAAAATTGCAGATTAAATTATCGACCGATTTTATATTTAATCAATCAATTAAAATGAATATACTCACACTAATTATATACTTCGGGCGATATTGAAACCCTCCAAAGAATCCGAATATAACGAATATGATATTGAAGAAATTTAATAGAATCGGCGTCCACATGTAACCCAAGAAGTCAAACACTTGCCTTTCGACTGTGAATATCTGAAAATAAAAATAAATATTTATTTTTTAACATGCCATACAAACAATTGTATATATACTTATATAGATCTACAGATTTAGAAGTTATACCTAAAGCACAAAAGTGAAGTGAGCAAAGATTAAATACATTTTGAACATATGTTGATTTCTATTAATTTTATGTTGTTCATTTTTAAAATATTATAGTATGAAAAATATTTCATAGCTCACTTAATAATTTCATAAACAGACATATCTGTTTGATTTTACAAATTACAATTAGCTATCAATTACATATTATATGAAAACGTTCTGCGGGGTGGAGAGGGGCTTAAAGGTACACGGAAGAAAAAGTCCATCACCAATATCTAAAAAATAAATAAAGTTAAGAATTTTAACAACAGTATTTGGATGTAGAGAAAAAGGATGTATAACCGGCCATCACCTTAATTTTTACGACGTAGTAATCAGGAAATAAACGGCAATGTTTGAAAATCAATAACAAAAAATTTTTCTGCCGTTGATAGTTTTTGAAGTAAAACTTCTTTAGGCGCGACTAGGGTGTAAATCCGTACAAATACAACGGAAGTGTGTTACGGCAGATAAGATAAGAGTTGACTGTCAATAATTTGTATTCGCTCTCGATGATATCATTTCTATACGGGTCGATTGTGATTAAGGGTCGTGTATGTGAAAAAAGATCTGTCGTTGTATGCGTACCGGCGTCAACGTTGTACGTGTACCGATATCAACAAAGAAATCGGCATAGATAAATAAACATTTTAAAGTTACATCGTAGTACAAATCTTGATTTAATAAAAAAAATGCCTTGAAAATAATAAAACAAAAAAAAAACATTTGTGCCGTAAGTTTATTGATTAGAAATTATTTCTATATTATTCGTTTATATTTATATTTCTATAAATCTTTTAAGTCATTAAAATAGATTCTTCCCATCATTACAAATTGAATGTTTTTTGAATTATTCAAATCGGATTTTGAATTATTCAAATCTTTGTCAAAAACTAATCAGCACGACCTCCAGCTGATATCTTACGAAGGATTTTTAAATTTAGAAAATCGGTTCAGTATTTTTTGCAAAAACATGGACGTAGTGATTTGTATTTTTTTGTAAACCTAGTCAATGCGAGTTCGAACGGCTTTTAAATTTTCAAAATCAACTCAGCTATTTTTTGAGAAAATGTCGACGGAAGTTCAAATTTCACTTAAACACATATGCGCGAACACATAAACAATTTTTACAACTTTGAACAATTCAGAATGACTTAAAACGTCGATAACTCTGAATCGTCAAGTCTGCATTATATATTTATAGAACATACATATCTATGATATGTACAATTTTAATTTTGAACATTTATTCCACACAATGATGAATGGATAAAGTCTACGGTAGCATATAAGCATTGAAACAATTTATAAATGATATTATTGAAAAAGAAAATCAGCTAGTGGTGCATGACATCGTGCCTTAAGGAAAAATGCTGAAACTTTCCGTACCGAAAATTAAAATTCTGAAATTCCAAATTAAATGTAGAACTCCTTTTCAAAGCATTCGTGCAACGTAGCTGTTTTAGATACAAAATATTGAAGCGGTATAACGGAAAAACTTTGGTGCGGAAACCATAGAAGTGTAAATATTTGTATTATTATTAATATCTTCATAAAATATCTGATAATTTAATGTGCATGTGTCTAATTATAATTTTCACTGTTTAATTGTGATATTTTTTTTACTTTTTTTATTAGATTTCCGTAACCATACAACCTGCCGCCTTAAAATCAGTTTAACCAGTTCTTCATTTCGTCACACTATGTTCTCTCAAAAACTGAGTCAACATTTTTGACACTTATTGCCCCATCTTCGAAACGGCTGGACCTGCCTTTGCCGGAAACTAATCAGCACGTCTCCCCATGAATACGAATCGAATGCCTTTTTCAACATTAGTATCCAAACACACACTGCTCTAAAGTATGCCAAAATGTTCAGAAATATTTGTAACATAAAGATGTATAAAAATTTTCATTTTCGATTTTTTTGCGATTACTATAACTATAACCCTACAAAAAGTTAGAAATAATATTATAATATACAAAAGTGAGTTATATTTGCTATTATAATAAATCAACTAATTGATTAAATAATTGACGTTCCTGGAAAATAAATAGGAGTATATTCCCTTAACAAAGTTTAAATTTATTTTCTTATGAAAAAGTTTTTGTAAAGTCAAATAAGTTTCTTAAAATTTATATTGATTTATATTCTAATAATCGTAAGCGTCAAAGTAATAAAAGTATAATTATGCCTATAAGAGCACAGTCTTTGGGGAGCCAGAGCATAAATATAGAACGAAAACGCAATAAATAACTTGTATAAACTTAAATTACGTAATAGTTAACTATTTATTTGAAATTGATTTATTGAGGACTTTGACATTTGACACACTAAATTAAAAACAACATTAATAATACTCTAGTAAATACATGACGCTTACAATCATGCAACTCATTTTCATTACTTCTATTTAAATAATAAAATAATTATTGTTCGAAAAGATTAAATCTATATCGATGTTACCATTAGAATTGACGATTGTGATAAAAATTCATCATCATTTTAAGCATTATTTCACAATGGTAACTAGTGGTGCATGGCATCATGCCTTAACGCAAATTGCTGGAACTTCCCGTACCAATTTTTTTACTTTTTTTTTAAATTTAATTTTTTTTAAAACTGTAAAAAATAATTTTTGAAATTTTTTAAAAAAGAATGACTTTTTATAAAAATTTATTTGTTTTTGTATTTTGATTTTTTTTTTTTTTGAATATTTTAAAGTTTTTCGAATACTTTGAACTTTTTGAACTTTACGCGCTGCGTAGCTGTCTCAGAGACAAAATAAAGAAGCGCGGAAGCGCCACCTCTCAGCCTAAAAAATAAGCATTGGTACAGAAACCATAGAAATATAAACATGTGCTAATTATTGAAATCTCTATAAAATATTTGATAATTTGATGTACGTAAGTTTAATTATCATTTTTGACCGCCTAATGGCATTTTTTTATATTTTTATTGGGTCTCCCCAAAAATTTAATCATTTCTCCGTTTCATTAATACAAATATAATGTTTTTTGAATCATTCAAATTGAACGCTCCATTCTCGAAGTGGCTGAACCTGCCTTTTACAAGTTTGCCATAGGGGAAGTTAAAAATATGACATCATTATACTAATTGTAAAATTGTAAATCGACAGTACATTTGTGTGAGTTACTATTATCTTAGTATTAAAGTATGTTAAGATTATAATTTAATTTAATATAAAGATAGGGTTTGTCTGTAGGTAAGCGGTTAAGAGCCGCGGGATTTGATTCAGAGGTCCCGGATTCAAGACCTGCTTCGAGCTGCCTGTTGTCAAGCAGTAGTGACAACGGTTTTCACTTCAAAACATAGATAGCAATATGTTTTCAAGTGAAAATAGCCTGGCATTGCTGCACCAATAAAAAGTCGGCCCTATTACAATAATTCTAATGATAAAATCATCAAATATGGGTGGATTAACCATTGGTTTACCATCTAAAAATACGAAGTAAAAAGTTTTAGCTCAACAGCTTATAGGACGTGAGAAAAAAAAGTTTTAAAATTTGAACTTATAAACTGTAAATTTTGCACCTTAACGAAAAGCTTCGATACATTTTTTGACATTATGCTACAATATTTTATATCTACATATTACAATACTAATATTAAATTTAGCCTTAATTTTTATTATATTATAATTGGAACGAGGCCTCAGGCCCTGTTATCATATTTATTACTGTCAATTGTCATCGTAATTTCGACAAAGTACATTTATGTTTTCGCCTTCCGACTCGCTAACATTATGGGACCGATTCTGCCGCATAACAGAAGAATGTTATGGCAGGGCCAAGTTATGAAAATCTTTCCATACTAAATATTAACAAAAGCCATGTGGTTGGTGTGCAGTCAGGCGTATTTTCCAGGTTATCAGAAAACCTAACCTAGAAACCGCACAAATATCAAAAAACGATTTTAGATAACAGGGTCTTTCTGATCCAGCTTCATAACATACGTTGCAGTTTATGTATCAAACCTGAATGAATGCCTGAATGAACAGCAAGTACATGACATTTTGACAGTATTCAGTATGATTCAGTGGTATGATGTATGCAAGTTGGAGCGTAACATGACCTTGCCATAGCATTTTTCTGTTATGCGGCAGAATCAGTCTCTATATTTCAAATTTTGATTTCAAATATCTAAAAACCATTCGGTATAGCTCGCGTTGATTTGTTTTTTTTGCGACGATTGACCAAGCTTTTTCTGAAGAGTTAGCAGGTAAGTGCAAAATATCTTATTATCCACCTTTTATGATTTTGAAAATGTAAAAACGGGTGGAAAGGTATCAGTTGGGATGCCATGGTGATTAGTTTTTGGTAAAGATTACCAGCCTGTTTTTTCGTAATTGTTAAAAAAAATCTTTTATCACAATTTTAATGAAATTTTGCTTTGATGAAAGGTCATGATCTTAAAAAACATCATTAATATTATGGTTTTAAAAGTGGTTTGATTAAGTGGAAAAATGGGTCGCGTCAAAATTTCAAACTACCATCGTCAAAATGCTAAAACCCGCTAAATTCTTATTGATGAAGTTCATTATTCACACATATCGGAAAATTCTAGCAAAATGCCACTTATTATAACGAGTTTTATTTGTAATAATTCAACAAATCCAAAATCAAAATTACATTATTTACCTGAGAAATCCAGTCATGTTGGACTTTAAAAAATTATACAGTATAAACCAAATGTACAACATCGCAATAAGTAATACGTATCAAACAATCAACTTTCAAACTATGTCCAGTAATGTTCCCAGTTAATTTCTAATTATATAAATGCTTTTTAAATATTTTCCAAATTTTTGTCACCTATCGCTTTCTACCTCATAGGATGAGTATAAAGAGACAGCCATCGACACACA